ATTGCGCCTCGCGTTGCCTCGTGGACTGGTCTGGGGGTCTCCTTGTGCTTCTCTCTCTTGGTGACTTGTCCCTCCAATCGTATCGTGGTTCTCTTAGGGTCCTCTTGAGGCAATATTTGGACGTGTTTGGGCACTTTTTGGTCGTTTCATGGCTTTCCTGAGGCACCGTCGACCTCTTGTTCAACCACCCTGTGGTGTTGGGTCCTCGTTTTGAAGAGACAACACCCAGCGTTACCTCTCTCCCGCTGCCCCCTCCCTCCCCCCATCCTTGCTTCTGTTCTCCGCATACCCACCATTTCGGCACACCCCTCACACGCTTTGTGACCCCATAGGGCACTCCATCGAAGGCCCAAATGGCTGCGTTCGCATGCGGCCACCATACCCATGTGGGCACACCTTTCGCACGTTTCGTTGCCCCCGAGGGATGTGCACCGAAGCCAAGATGCCAGCGGTCGCATGCAGCCACCGCACCCATGTGGGCACACCCCTCACGCGCTTCGTGGCCCCATATGGGGACTCCACCGAAGGCCCAGATGCCAGCGTTCGCACACGGCCACAGCACGAATGTTGGCACACTCCTCCCACCCTTCGTGGCCCCTTAAAGAGCTCCACCGAAGGCCAAGATGCCAGCGTTCGCATGCGGCTGCCGCATTCATTTTGGCGCACCACTTACACGTTTCGTGGCCCCAGAAGGAAACTCCACCGAAGGCCCAGATGGCAGCGTTCGCACACGGCCACAGCACGAATGTTGGCACACTCCTCCCACCCTTCGTGGCCCCTTAAAGAGCTCCACCGAAGGCTCAGATGCCCAGCGTTCGCACGCGGCCACCGCACCCATTTTGGCACACCCTCACACGTTTTGTGGCCCCACAGGGAGGTTCACTGAATGCAGTGCGTACCTCAACTATGCCCACAGTTGCAGATGGTTGAGTCCTTCGCCAGGCTAATTGTTTTGGGGGTTCTTGGGGCTGTCTTGGGGCTCCCCAGGGGCGTCTTGAGTTTCTCCAGTGGCTCTGTGAAGCGTGCTGTCTTGAGGCCATCGTGGGGCCCTCTTGGATCCGTTTTGGAAATTCGTGCCCCAGTTGAGTTATCGAAAGTTCAAACGCTTGGAATCCAAATAGCACTGGAACTTAAATGTACTCGTAAAGTTCTCCCCAGACGATTGCCTTACGGGAGTCCCTTCTGGGCCCTATTGGAGCGTCTGTGTTCGTCTTGGAGACCTCGTGGGGCCCTCTTGGGCAATCTCAGCTCCGTCTCGAACCTGTTGGCTCGGTTGGGGCCGTGGGTCGCGTCGGCCGCCTGTGCGGCCATCTTGCCGCCATCTCATTTCCAAATCGGTGCTTGCACCTACGGGTTCTGATCTGTCTTCCTTGAGGTGCGGTGGGGGCGTTGGTTAAGGAATGTGCACGGGAGGCTTCAGACCCTGGAGAGTTCCGCATCTGACGAGGGCGGCGGTGAGATCCGTGGCCGATCCGCGACTGGAGCTCCACTGGCTTCCAGACCCTGGATTCCTTATCTAAGGGTTCCTCGTCCAATGCCCTCACCGTCTTGATGAGCTGCGGCGGTAGCGCTGTGGTATGCGAGTGGCATAGGCTGCCAGGAGCCCTGCGCGGCTGCGCTGCGCTTTCGGGGTTCCTGCCTGCATGATTTTCTCTGTGAGTTTCTGTTCCTCCATGGATGCGTCGGCAAAAAATGCCCTCACCGTACTCATCTTCCTCGAGGTACTTGGTTGGGCGTGCTGGATCTTCGGCTGGTGCCCGGGTGGTAGGCCCCTCTCGGGTGCCTCGTGGGCCCCCGCCATGCCGGGTGGGCGTGCCGAGGTGCGGCAGGGTGCCCGGCGGGGGGCGCTCGTGGGCACCGCCGAGGACGCCTCGCTCCCCAAGCCGTGCCTGCACGGGGGGGGGCCCCCGCGGAAGCGGAAAAGTGCGGCGAAAGCGTCCCGCCGATTCTCGTCGCACGCTGGGTTCACGGGTTCCCGGTGTATGGTTCCGGGCCGAGTTCGGCGGGTTTTGGGTTCCCGGGCCCCGGGGTTCCCCGTCGATCTCCTCAGCGAAAACCATGTACTGATTGGGTTTTTTCTCTGGTGTGATACCCTATTGGGGCATGCGTGGTCCGTTTTGAAGCCGCTGTGGAACTTCGCGTGGGCAGAACGGGCGGCAGGCGTAGAACACGCCGACCTATATGTGCTCCCAAGTTCTCTTCGGCATCTTCGAGAGTCCTTAGGGCCGTGTGGGGGCCATATTTGGGGTATATTGGGCCGTCCCGGGATCTTGGTGTCGTTATCGGGGTCTCTTGTACCTTCTCGGCGGTCTGGTCGTGCCCTTGTTGGAGTATTGCGGCAAATTGGGGTGGCCAAGGAGCTGGGATCACCGCCTATAGGTTGCCTCTCTGCTGACGTCGTAGTAAACAGCAGCAGAGGAGACAAGACTGGCGAGAGAGGAGACGGGAGGCGACACAGATTCTCCAAGCAGCAGCTGGGCCTGCGGGCTTCTCTGGCCGCCATGTCGCCACCGTCGCCGCCATGTCGCCACCGTCGCCGCCCCGTCGCCGCCTCGTCGCCGCCCGTCGTCTGGGCCTGCGCACCGCTCTGGCCGCCATGTCGCCGCCTGGGCGCCGCCCGTCGCCTGGGCCTGCGGGCCTCTTTGGCCGCCATGTCGCCACGTCGCCGCCGTCGCCGCCTCGTCGCCGCCCGTCGCCTGGGCCTGCGGGCCGGTTTGGCCGCAGTTTCCTGCCGCACGTCGCTTGGGCTTGCGGGCCGCTCTGGTCGCCATGTCGCCGCTCGTCAAAGACTGTCCCCTCGTCGCCGCCCGCCGTGCATTGGTTCGCATAGCGTCATATTGCTTTGCATACATTGCTCTGCATAGCTTGGCATTGCTGTGCGTTGTTGCGCGTTGTTCTGCATCGTGTTGCATTGATTTGCGTTGCTTTGCATTGCGTTGCATTGCAGTGATCTGCATGGGTTTTCTTCGCATTGCTTTGCATTGCGTCACATTGATATGCCTTGCTGCGCCTTGCTTTGTTTGCACTATCCACATAGCTTATACACCATACATATATATATGTGTGTCCTGTTGCACCGCATTGATTGCACCACATATATTGCACCACGTAGACTGCGCCACGTAGCTCACAACACAGATATTGCCGTACATAGTTTTTGCCGCGCGACTTGCACCACAGTTATATATATATATATACATGTATAGGCGCAGTATATATATGTATATATGTATATAAATATGCGTATCCATCCGAAGACGCGATATCTCTGTGTTAGCGAATAGCGATGTAACGAACCAACACTTGTAGGAAAGCGCGGTTCATGGCCAAACCACTTGTCGGAACGCTGGTTCGTGCTTTCCTACAGCTCGCTGTGTCGTTTTGGTTCGGTGCATTTGCATATTTGACATGTAGGAAACAGCCTTTCGTGATTTCCTACATTTTGTTCTTCGTGAGCTCGGTATCCCAAAAACCACATTCCCAACCGCACAGTTAACCAAGCACGCCGTTAGCGCGGCCTTGGTTCATATTCGTATATTTATCTGTATAGGGCTGGGGGCCCCGGAAAAAGCGCACCCCACCCCCCGTAACGAATTTGGCTAACCCCAGGCCTCTCGGGCATCCCTCCAGACGACCCGGGAGAACAACACGAGAGCCCGAAGACGGCCCCAGAGAGTTCCAGACGTTCCGGCGCGCTCCCGAAACAACCCCAGCGAGCCCCGAGACGGTCCACGACGACCCCGAAGAAACCGTCATACCCTTAAAGATCGCCCCGAAACGTCCCAAAATGCCTTCAAGAGCATTCCCAAGAAGGCCCCACGTGGCAAAAATCATTGATTTTCTGATGGTTGTTGGTGAATTTGGGCGTTCTCTTTTCGGCTTCCCGACGCTCCGAAACGGCATTCTTCTGGGCGTCCGAAGCCGCCAGGGAGGCTCGAACATCGCCCCACAACCATCCGAAAGGTTTTCCAGGGAGTCTAAGAGAGCCCCAAGCCAGCACAACAGGGTTGCAAGATTGCCTGAGAGAACCCCATGACGGCCCAAGATGGCCCCAAGACACCCTCCGGAGCATTCCGAACCGTGACCTGGTCGTTCAGGGAGACCGCGGTTGGAGGCAGGGTGGCCCGAGGAAGCCCCTCAAAGCCTCCAGAAGACGCCCATGAGGCCTCCAGAAGGCCGTAAGAAAGCATGACAACTTTGCGTTAGGCCCCCAGATGCTCTCCAATAAAGAGCCTCCACCAAAAGAGCCGAGGAGGATGGTGAGAATACGCAGGGTAGGGCGAGAATGAGGAACAAAAATGTCGCCTGCGTACCAAACTTCAAGGACCAATGTGCATGGCGCGAAACGCCACTGCAGTCTTGTATATTCGCATGTGTACATACGTATATGTACCGCACCAACACAGCACACTCCATCTATATTGCACCACGTAGCTTACATCTCGTAGAGTGCGCCACGTGGATTGCACCACACAGTATGCCAGAACATACTGGTTGGGGTCCACTCTGGCGAACTCTGGCGAACATGTATGTGCAAGATATACAGGGAGAGAGACATAGAGAGAGAGAGAGAGAAAAGTCAAGATACACTCCCCCGGCAGAAGACTAGCAGTGGAGGTCGCCAACGGAATTTCCTTCTCTGGGGTCACGTGCCAGCACCATGTCAACTGTACTGGGATGTCTTTTGCGAGTTCAGTATGGTGAAGGATTACGTTTTTTAGCTGTTCTGGAACTACTGACATTCATCAGCCTACAACCTACAATTCCCGATCGAACAGCCGAGAAGGGCGCGTGGCGCCGCTCAGGGGGTGACCAGCTCCGCTTGTGGCATGGAGGGCGTGCAACAGAGCAGCGAACAGGAGGACGGCGCAGCGAACAGAAAGACGGGAACAACTGGACGAAGAGGAAGCGCTGATCCTCGCAGCAGCGGCGCCTGCCCTGCACTGCCCCCCCCCCCCCCGCCGTCCTCGGGCGCCGTCGCACCCCCCCGCGCCGCCCAGGCCTCGAGGGGCGCGCTCCCGTCGCGGCCTCTGCGCGCGCGCCGTGCGCGCACCTGCGGCAATGCAGCTGCGCCCGCGGGGGCCGATCGTCTGAGCGGCTCCCGGGGGGGGGCGGAGGGAGCTCTCGGAGGGCGCTGGGCTGCACACCAGCACCGATCTTGGCCGGGCCCGTCCCAGGCCCAGTCTTGGGGCACGCGGTCACGAAGTTCTGTTGAGCGTGTCGCGCCGCCTGTCCTGGCCCACTGCGCCTCGGCGCGACACGCTGGGCACGTCCAAGTCCCAAGCATCAGTGCTCCGGGCCTCAACCAGCCTGCGTCCCACGGTGTACAGCGACACGGCATCGGCATCAGCTTACAAGTCATAGCGTGTCGCAAAGGCCGCCGCCGCGATACGCTAAGCGCAAGTTCCTCACTGAAATTATTCCGTCCTGTCGTTGCGGCATATCATCAGCAGTCAGTTTGGACCGGAAGCGTCCAGAGAGGGACGAGAGGGTAGCCCAATATTGACGACAGTGTTGTCGACGTGTTCTCGATCGTCCTTGGCTGAATTGACCTGATCGGCGCATGCGTCGACTCAAGACCCCAGCATTGTCTAACCGACCCCCATCCAGAATGGCTCAGCCCCACTAGCCCACAGCCCACCCTCCCAGGTGGGGATAGGCCCCGCGAAGTCCGATGGGAATAGCATACGTCCCCACCTTGGGGATCAAGTCCGCAAGTGGGGCCAAGGCCATGCCAGTGGAGATGGAGACCGTTTGACGATGCTCAGTCCTGCTCTTCGGGCTCCTTGCTGGGAGCAGCATAAGACGGCTCCAAAAGCACTGTTAGCCGCCCACCCGCAAAGGGCTCGAGGCACTGAATCGCTTCGGGGGAGGGCTCCCGCCACAGTCGTGCTTGCATGTTGCTCGGCGATTGTGGTCGGGTGGCCAAGCTGGCGCCTGAGAGCCACGCTTTCGCCATAGCGCCACAGCTCGGGGGCCCGGGATCGGCCTGGCCAGGACAGGTGCTGGCGTTCAGTCCGCGCGAGCGTTCGCGCCAATGCGCCCAGCGGCCGCCCTGGTGCTGCTCGTGGCCGCCGTGGCAGGGCGGGCGCTCGGGGTGCGCCGCGTGCGAGAGAAGCCCAGCGCGACTTCGCAGGCAGCACCGTCGCCTCCGTCGCCATGGAGCAAACGTCGAGTAGGAGATCGGTTGCAGAATTGATTCACCTCAAAAGGAGTCAACACATGAAAGTAGAACGTTCCACAGATTTAGAATGTTCCTAGACTGTCTACAAGACATACCGTGGGGACACACATCATTTATGTAGTCGATCCCTACTCAAACGGAGTAAACGGGTCCTGAGGGAACGGGGTCCTAAGGGTTTCTGCCGTGTTTGGCCTCCCGGGGCCCTCCGAGGGCCCCGTCGGGGGCCGACGAGTAACGGTTCAACACGAACAGCTGGTCCCAGAGAGCGCCCTGGAGCCCAGGACTCGTTCCTTTCGGGATCCGCTTGCGTCATGCCAAGTCGCCGCCGCCGCCGTCGTCGTCGTCGTCGTCGTCGTCGTCGTTTGCGGTTGTCTCGGCTCTCTGCTCGAGGCAGCGTCGGCCTCGTCGAGGAGGGGGGACGCAGCGGGGGAAAGCAGAGGGGAGGGGAGGGGAAAGGGATCAGAGGGGGAGGAAGGCAGGGGAGCAGAAGGGAATGGGCGAGGAGGCAGAGGGTAGTGAGGCAGAGGTGAGGGGATAGGCAGGGGAGGGAGCAGCAGGGGGGCCACTCCATCCTACTCCCGCCTCCTCTTCCCTCTAATCACCCTCCGTCCTACCCTCATTTGTCTGTCTCCTCCCCTCCTCCATCCCTCCCACTCAGCCGTCCCCCTCCCTCCCTTCCCATTCTCCACCGTCTCGAACGACGCGCTGACAATGGGGGAAGGCCTCGCTGCTGCAGCTGGACGCCGACGGCGGCGGCAGCTCGCTCTCCACCTGGGGGACACGCCTCCGCGAGCCGCACCTGAGATACCGCCGAAGCGCAAAGCTTTCGAGCTCCTGAACCCAGGCGATCTGCCCGCAGGACGCGTGCAGAGCACAATGGCGAGTAGTGTAACGCAAGCGACGGGCACATGTATGTAAGTTGGTTGTTGGCTTAATCGTGGCATGGCCTGGAAGCCGATTCTCTACTGCCCCGTCGTATTACCACTAGTAGAATGTAGTTTCATTCGTGCGGTTATTACTGGTAGCAGTTGATTGGTATTGCTATTTCCTTTGCTTCTACTACGTGCACGGCTGCTATTGTTTTGGCGATTGCCAATGGTCAAATAATTGTCGGTGTTGCAATTTGTATATTGTAAGGGCCTCGCCTTCTGCCGTCGGCTCCCTCTCCACCACACTGGGATAGAGCAGAGTTATAGTGGGATGTCTCGGCGCTTTTTGAAGACATCTGGGAGCATCATGCGAGGGCGACTGATATTCAGCAAGCACTTTGTGATGTCGGAATTGCGGTTGCTGAACGCTTTGTTTCCTTCTTCGAGCCGTGCTTTCCGGCTGTGAACTAGAATCCCTGTTCGAACTACTCTTGGGCGGGTGTTTAAATCCATCTTTGGCGAAGTCGCGCGGCTGGGGCTGTCTTTGATTCGTGGCTGTGAGCCCAGCTTTGGGCCAGCCTCCATGGGGCGTGCTTATAAGCTCGGAAGCGCGAAACTTGCAGAATTTGGAAAGGCTTGGCCCCAGGAGCGCAAATCCTAAACAGTTTACCCGGGATCGTGGCCTCGGCGCGAATTTGGCGCAATTTGCGAGGGATCGTGGCCTCGGGATCGCGAGTCGGGCGTAATGTACAAGGGGCCACAGCTTCGGGTGTAGCTTCGCGCGCTTCTCGTATGAAAGTGTGCGTCCCGCATCTGATATCTGAGCGGTTATCATGCCAACGTGTGTTGAGCACACACACACATGTAATGGCCCTCATTTGGAAGCTGAAAGACCTCATATGAATATTTGTGATTATCCTATGAGGCGGTACGTTTCTCAAATGCGGGTGTGTGAGAGGTCCATGTGGGAATTGATTAAATGTCATAATGGAGACGCCTGGTTCTCATTTGAAGAGCTGCACGCTATTCATGTAAATGCGTACGGCTATATTATGACCCATGGGATTTTAACGTCCCTCCAATGAAACAGACGCAATGCTAACCCTCCAGTTGAAAACTGGCCTGCTCTCATATGAAAGTGTGTGAGTATGATATGAAGCTGTGCGGGTCCCCAACAAAGAGGTTCTGTAATGTGGGTTTTCGGTTAGGCGTAAGCCGTGCTTTTAGGTATGAAATGAGCATGTGCAGTTCGCGCATGAGCCCTGCACGCGTCTCATATCCAAGTTGTGCGGTTCTCGTGTGGAAACTGCAGGCGTGTCATATGAAACAATGGGGCTATCCTGCGAAAGTGCATGACTGTCACGGGCAAGGGTGCATTTTCTATCTGCCTGATTGCCCTCAATTCAAAACTGGAGGCTTCTCATTGAAACTCTGTTCGCCTCGCATGAATAACGTGATATTCGCATATGACATTGCGCGTTTCGCATATGGGATTGCTTATGTTTCAAAAGGTGCACTGTCTTCGTATGGTAAAATTTGCGGTTCTTGCTTGAAGTTGTGTGCGCCTCGCATCGGAGCATCAAATCATCACACGGAAGTGTTTGATTACCAAATGGTAATTTGTTGTTCTTTCCTAGAGAATTGGGCGACATTCAGATGGCACCGTGTTTTTCGCATTCAAGGAGCCAGGCTTTTCTATTTGAATTTACGGCTCGCGTGTGGAAATGGTAAGAGTCTCATTTGGGAGCTGTGGGTATCCTTGTGAGCACGGCTATTGTACGACAGCTGTAAGCGTCTCATATGAAAACTGCGCGATGCTCGCACGACAATTGTGCGACTCTCATATAAGACCCCAGTGGCTCTCATTTAAAAGGTGCATCATTCGCGTATGATAGTTTTACGAGGCTCAGTGGTAAGTTGTACGATCCGATGGTGCGATTCCCACAAGAACAAAGTGTACGGCATGCATGGTTCCGATCTCGAAGCTATGTTCCCAATATGACAGTGTCACATGAAGCTGCATGGTTCCAGTATGAAGAATGCCCTACATGAGACTGTATGATTCGCACGTGGAAACTGAATAGCTCCAGTGTGAACCTGTGGGGTTCCCATATGAAAGTGTGCGTCTCCCACTTGCGGTGCGATCCCCTGTTGGAGGTTCTCGGGCATCCGACCGGAGGATCGAGAATTGTGTAATTATCCATTGTTTTTGCTTCCCCCTCAGGTACTCTTCACAGGGTCTGCCTGAACCGCCTTGGGACTGCCTTGAGCTTCTCAGGGGTTGTCTCGGGACCCTCTTGAGCTGTCTTGCGTCCTCGTGGGCCGTCTGGCGCCCACCTCGGCCCCCTGGGGAGTCTATCGGAGCGGTCTTTGGGGGGCCTCTTGGGGCAGTGTCGGGGCATTTGTGGGCCTTCTCGGGCTATCATACGTCCATCTTGGGCCGTCGTGCGGCCATCTTGGAGCTATCTTGGTCCGCTTCTGTTGCCTGTTGGGGCTTGTGATCGATGTCGGCCTTCCTGGAGGGCCCGCCTTCTCTGGGGTGTCCTGGCAGCGTTTGGGGGCCCTTTTGGTCAGAGAGTCCCCATTGTTGCGTCGGGCGTCCTCGCAGGGAGCAGAGCCCGGGGCAGTTGCGCTGCGTGGTTGGGGGGCTCGGCCGGGTACTCTAGTGCCCTGCGTTGGCAAGGATGCGCGTAGTCGCCAATTTTATGCCGCATCCATTCCGGATGCGACGTCGCAGGAGCTACCGAGGCTCGTTCGGGAGCAGCGGCGTGCTCGAGCCAAAAAGGCGCCCCCGCTCAAGCCAGTCAATGGTTGTGGAGCCGATGTTTTCGATGCTTTGCGAGTCCCCCGCGGATGCTCTTTTGTCTGATTCAAACCCGGCAGAGTTCAATTTGTTGAATTCCCTGTGCGTCTTGTCGTGACGGTGTTATGTTGCAGCTGCGCGGCGGCGACGTATGCTATGGAGTAACTACCTGGGACTCTTATCCCTATTCTACTAAAGATAGGCTTCCTGCTGCGATTACCGCTGCGGTTGCTCCTGCTCCTCCTCTTTCGGTGACGCCTCTGATTGATTTGGCGTGGCGGGAAGCCCCGCGGGGGCAGCTGAGCGGAACAAAATCAAATCCAGGCCGCGCCCGGTTCGGGGTCGGGGAGCCTTGCCGTTCGGCCATACGATGAGTCCTCGCGGCAGACGGGGCCTCTTGTCGACCTCGCCGGGCTGATTGGTGCCCTGATCGAGATCCGTGGTTCGTCGGCTACCCTGAAAGGTTAGTGGGGGGGTGCAGGGGCACCAGGGATGCGCGAAAATGGAGGGAGGGTGGATTTGCCCCTTACACCTTCGTTGTTTTCTCCTCCCAGATGTGGGGTCCAAGCACGCTCTAGTTCGACGGGCTCTTCAAGACGGCGGCGCTGATGTTCCGATCGGAAAGATGTGTATCATCAGGGGTATGATATCATTTGCAGCACCGATTGATTGCGTGCTTCTTGCTCAGGTCAACTCTTGGCCTATGCGGTCTCTGTTGTTTCTTGACGCTCAGAGTCTAGGTCGCCCACAGAGGCTCGACGATAATCCCGCTTCGCAAGTCGCGAAACGCTCACCGCGGGGCGCGAAGCGCGCAATGAGGTGACGCCGGGGATGGCCAACTGACCACGGGTCGGGATGATTGTCTCGGCCGCATGCTGGGCGGTTCTGGTCGCCGCCGTGGCCTTCTTCTACCTCCGGCTGAAGGAACTCCCGCGGCCCGCCCTAGACGGTGGGGCAGCGACGCCAGAAAGGGTTCGGAATCTATTGCTTGTGGGATCGCGGCAGAACGTTCGCCTCTACGCTCCCCCGAGAATCAGAATTCCACACATATGTTTTAGCATAGGGGTCCTCACCTAGCCATAAGAACTAGTTGTCGAAGCTCTCTGCCGGCCTCGCCCTTCCCATGTTGTTGATGTTGTGTTTTTGATGTTGATGTTGTTCTTGCTGTTGATGCCGTTGTTGTTGTTGTGGTTGTTGCCGCTGTTGATATTGTGGTTGGTGATGTTATTATTGTTGTTGTTCGTGTTGTTGATGCTGTTGTCGTCGTCGTTGTTGTTGGTGTCGTTGTCGTTTCAGTGGTTTCTGGTGGTGTTGATGATGGTGTGTTTGTTGTTGTTGTTGCCGTTGTTGCTGTTGTTGTTGATAGTGGTGAGTGTTGTTATTGTTGTTGCCGGTGCTGTTGTTGGTGATTAGATTGTTGATGTTGTTGCTGTTCCTGTTGTTGATAGTGTTGTAGTTGGTTTCCGTTGTTGTGTTTGTTGTTGTGGTTGTTGTTGGTATTGTTGTTGTTTGTGTTGTTTGTGTTGTTTGTGTTGTTGGTGTCTGTGTTGTGTTGGTTGTGCTGTTGTCGTTGGTGTTGCTACTGTTGTTGTTGGATATGCGTGTCGAGAGAATAGTTGTTGCGGATCTCCGGACATGGTTCCGCGCGCTCTCGCCTCGACGCCGGCTGTTTTGTCTCTGAAAACGAGGGTTCCGCTCGAGCGTTGGCTTTATTGTACATGCGTATTGTTGCAGGCCCGGCTACGACGACAACGGCTCCCGCTCGATATTGCCTTCCGATTTACCCCGGTGACACCCTGGCCAGAGAGGACCCCGAACTCAGGAACGGCGCTCTCGCTTGAGGCTTCCTCGCGATTCGATCAAGTTTGCGTAGGCCCAGCCACGACGGCACGTGCTCCCGCTCGATACTTCCTTACAATCTACCCCGAAACACCCTGGCCAGAGAGGGCCTGGAACTCAGGAGCGGCACTCTCGCTTGAGACTTCCTCGCAACTCAGTCAAGTTGGCGGAGGCCCAGCCACGATGACAACGGCTCCCTCTCGATACTTCCTCACGGTTTACTCCGAGAGCCTTTGGCCAGGGAGGTCCCCGAACTCACGAACGGCGCTCTCGCTTTAGATGTCCCCGTAATTCAGGCAAGTTGGTGGAGGCCCAGACTCGGCGACAAGAGTTCCCGCTCGATATTTCTCAAGATGTAGTCCGCGAGCCCTAGCCAGAGAGGCCCTCGAACTCAGGAACGGCGCGATCGTTCGAGATTTTATCGTACTTGTTTACGCTTCGCGAATTCCCACCAGCCTATTTAGGAGCCCTGCCCATGAGAGCTGACGGGGAAAGGGACGGAGAGACATGTGAGGCTATCTTGGAGCATCGGAGATTTCTTGGAACTACGGGCCTGTATTGTGGGATATTGGGGTCATCTTGGAGCTCTTTTGGGGCATCTTGGGGCCCTCTTGGGGCTGTTTGGGGGGTCTTGGGATCATCTTGGGGCTCCTTTGGAGCGCCTTGGGGCCCTCTTGTGGCCCTCTTAGGGCTCTCTTGGGGCCCTATTGGGAGCTATGGAACGCATCCTGGGGCCATATTGGAGACCATCGATCAAAGGAGGGGGGGGGGTCCTAGATTCCCCCCCCCTCCGAGGCCCGAAATAGCCTCTTGTGGCGCTCTTGGGGCCCTCTCGGGGTGATCTTGGGCGCTCTTGGCGCAGTTTTGGGGGGCCTCTTGGGCCCTTCAAATGCGCATCGGAAGCGAAACTGCCAGACAGCAAACATCACTGATTTTCCGTAAGTTTGGCTTCTCGGGGAGGTCCTGAGGGGTCGCTAAAAGCACGTGGATCCGTCTTGTGGCCTTTTGGGGGCCTCTTGGAGGCATGTTGTTAGCTATATTGAGCCATGTTGGGCCATCTTGAAGGATCTTGGAGGCCATCTTAAGCTCTCTGAGGCCCCCTTGCAGCCATCTCAGGCTGTCTTGGACGCCCTGACCGCTCGCAAACCCCCCCGTCCAGGTCCAGGGGAGGGGGTAATTAGGGGGTGGGGTCAAGCTACCCACCCCCCCGCAAGCCGTCTAGCTCACTCCCACCCGCCCTCCCAACACATAAGTATCACACGAGCCTGAGCATGTTCAGCGGTCGTCTTTGGATGGGCAGCTACTGGGAACCAAAACCGACTCCAGGTGCGCGACGCTGGGGCGAGCTGCGCCACGTGTGCCAGGGGCGCCACGCGCGCCAGGCACCCCTGGGGCCCGAGCGTGCCAGGCACGCCTGGTGCGCCAGATGCGCCACGTGCTCCGACTGCGCCAGTGCCACACACTCCAGCCGCGCCAGGTGCGCCACCGTCGGGGCACGTGCAGAGTGCGTCAGGTGCGCCTGCGCACGTGACAGCACACATCGGGAAACATGTCGGCCCCCCACCATCCTCGCCGAAAGCCAATGCCCATCATTGTCTGGTGGACCTGCACACAGCGGGCCACGCGCCACCACCCCCGCCGTCGCTGTCAAAAGCCGCTTGACAGTGATCGTGGATGGCCGCGCATGATCCAGATTTAGCCGCGAGGTGCATTTTGTAGTGATTTGTTGTCAGGGATGGTAGCGCTGCGCACAGCAGGGAATACGCTGACACCCCCGCCGTCCCTGTCAAAAACAATCCAAAATGCTCGCAGGCCTCACGAACATGACTCAAGACTGTTTTTGACAGGGATGGTGGGATGGTGGGGGGGGCGCATCGGTTTGGCCGCGCATGCTCCAAGTGTGGAGGCAGAGTGGAGCAGTAATCAACTGGTCCCCGAACGGGAATAATGGGTTGTGAAAGAGGAAAGAAAGACATCGCTAGACCACCTGTCGCCCAGACGGCTGGTGGGATTCAATCAAGTTGGTGGAGACCCAGCCACGACGACAAGGGCTCCCGTTGATTACTTCCTCAAGCTGTACTTCAAGATCCCCTGGCCAGAGACTGCAAGTCAGCGGCTGCGCCGGAGGCCCACCTGCGACAACAGGGGCTCCCGCCCGACACGCCCTCGCAATTTACTCCTAGACGCCCTGGTCAGAGAGGCCCCCGAACCAGAGAGCCCCAGCACACTGCTCACTGAGACCTTCGGACACAGCCCACAGAAACTCCAAGCACGCCCAAGGGGGCCCCAGCACGATGCTCATGGAGGCCCTCGGGCACAGCCCACTGAGGCCCTCGGACTCAGCCCGCAGAGGCCCCAGCACGCCCACAGAGGCCCCAGCCCACAGAGGCCCCAAGCGCGCCCACAGAGGCTCCAGCACGCTGCCCACGGAGGCGCCCGACACAGCCCACAGACCAAGAGTAAGAACACAGAGGCTCCAGCGCGTTGTTCGAAGGCCCTCCGGCACAGCCTACAGAGGCCCCAAGCGCGCCCACAAAGGCTCCAGCACGATGCCCACTGAGGCCCCCGACGCAGCCTGCAGAGGCCCCAAGCGCGTCTACAGAGGCTCCGGCGTGCTGCCCATTGGGGCACCCGACGCAGCCCACAGAGGCCCAAGCCCATTGAGGACCCCGACACAGCCCACAGAGGCCCCATCCCATCCCACAGAGTCACCAAGCGCGCCCACAGAGGCCCCAGCCCACAGAGGCCCCAAGCGCGCCCACAGATGCCCCGTCGCGCTGCACACCGAGACCCCCAACACAGCCCACAGGGGCCCAGAGCAAGCCCACAGAGGCCGTAGCACGCTGCCCGCAGGCCCTCCAGCACAGCCCACAGAGGCCCCAGTCAAAAAAAAGACCAAGAGACAACCACGAGACTACACACAACACACATACTATAACGTCACGACAGAGAAGTGTGCCCCTACCCAGAAGAGCCGCGAAGACCCAGCGCGCCAAGAGGCTCCGCTGCTGCCCCCGAGGCCCTCCGACACAGCCAGCCCAGCCCCCGCGCCCGCCGCCCCCCCCCCCCCCAGCCCCGCCGCCACCCATACAAGCCCAGCCCCCCCCCCCGCCAAGCCCCCCAGAGCCCGAGCCCGGCCGCTCCCCAAGCCACAGCCCCGCGCCCCGCCCCAACCAGCCGCCGCCCCGCCTACCTCCCCCCCACGTGCAGCCAACAGAATCTGAACCGGGGCCAGAGCCACGCAAGACCCCGCCCGCCCACGCCGACCCCCCCCGCCGCGCCCCTCGCCCGCCCCAGGGCCCGCAGCCCCCCCACCCCCCCCATGCAACGCCAGTCCGTCAAAACGAGCGCAAAACTATTCCCGAGCGCAGGCGCCGAGCCGTAGCCCAAGACACCCGCCCCGACCAGAGTCCCACAAAGGTCCCCCCCCAAGCGCGACCACGGAGACCCCAACGCGCTGCCCAGTGAGGCCCCGCGCGCTGCCCACTGAGCCCCCCCAACACAGACCACAGATGCCCCAAGCGCGCCCACAGAGGCCCCAAGCGCGCCCACAGAGGCCCCAGCGCGCTGCCCACTGGGGTGGGGTCCCCCGACACAGCCCACAGAGGCCAAGCGCGCCCACGGAGGCCCCAGCCCACAGAGGCCCCAAGCGTGCCCATGGAGGCCCCGGCGCGCTGCCCGCTGAGGACCCCCGACATAGCCCACAGAGGTTCCAGCACGCCGCCCACAGAGGCCCCAGCCCACAGAGGCCACAAATGTGCCCACAGAGGCCCCAGCGCGCTGCCCACTGAGGCCCCCGACACCACCCACAGAGGCCCTAGCCCACAGAGGCCCCAAGCGCGCCCACGGAGGCCGCCGCTCGCTGCACTTTGAGGCCCTCCGACACAGCCCACAGGCCCCAAGCGCACCCACAAAGGCCCCAGCCCACACAGGCCCCAAGCGCGCCCACAGAGGCCCCAACTTGCTGCTCACTGGGGCCCCCGACACAGCCCACATAGGCTCCAGCCCACAGAGGCTCCAGCGCGCGCACGGAGGACCCCGCGCCCGCAGAGGCCCGAGGTCCCAAGCAAGCCCACAGAGGCCCCAGCCTACAGAGGCCCCAAGCGTGCCCACGGAGGCCCCCGCGC